AATGTCAACGTGTTGAAAAATACCTAGTAAGCTACTTGAAATAGCAAAAAGCTAAAGTAGACCATCAATTTCAGATACAAATGTCATCACAATATCATTCCTGAAAGAAAATGAAACTGATAAAATTAGTTAAAAGAATATTAGAGATTAGTGGCCTGATAAACACAGATGAAATAAACTTACAACCATACACACGACCTAAATTTCTTTACTTTGTTTACAATTTACAAAGATAGCTTGCGATGCAAGGTAGCATACGCCCACTGGCAGCTGTCAGAAATGATAAAACATTCTTTAGTGACTAAAGTACAAATTTTCTCATATTGAAGAAATTTTATTAGTTTGAATTCAATTACATATATATATTTGCCAGTTATTTATGCTGAATAATTCCACAAAATTTTTTAAAATCAACATCAATAACCTAAATACAACAAACAATTATATCACACAGCTCTAATCAAGGGCAAAAAACAACTTTTGACACGTGTTTACAAAGTCAAGGGCAATAACTCAAAAAATGTTCATCAAAAATATCTCATTAGAACTTGTCCGAGATCTTATCAATTCCAATGATCACACCAAGTTTCATCAAAATCGGTTGAAAACTGTAGCTTCTCTTGTCCTCACAAACAAAGTCTGAGATCTTATCAATTCCAATGATCACACCAAGTTTCCTCAGAATCCGATGAAAACTGTAGCTTCTATAGTGCTCACGTACACATTTTGACGCATTTTTACAAAGTCAAGGGCAGTAAATCAAAAACCGTTCATCGAAAATGCGTCAAGTTAGAACTTGTTCGAGATCTTATCAATATCAATGATCACACCAGGTTTCATCAGAATCCGTTGAAAACTGTAGCTTCTATTGTGCTCACGAACAAATTGTGACGCGTTTTTACACAGTCAAGGGCAATAACTCAAAAACTGTTCATCAAAAATGCATCAAGTTAGAACTTGTCCGAGATCTTATCAATTTCAATGTTTCATCAGAATCGGTTGAAAACTCTAGCTTCAATCCTGCACACAAACTATTTTTAACAAATTTCGAATCGTTTTAAGAAAGTCAAGGGCAATAACCGTTCATAGAAAATATGTCAAATTCGAACTTGACCAAGATATTATCAATCTAAGGCATCACACCAAGTTTTATCAAAATCAGATGAAAACTGTAGTCTCCATAGTGCTCACAAGAAATGTTAACGGACGGGCCGACAGACATATTCATGTGGGTTCATGTCCCCTCACCTACTGCATGACCACTTCCAGAGTGTCACACTGACCGACCATCCAATTTAGCAAATGGCAATACCCAATTTATCCCTACTGTGAAAGGGGGATTTCCTAAAATTGACACTTATGTGAAAAATTCAACAACTGTGGTTTATGCACAACTAAAGTGACTATCCATCAAAAGCCAATCAGGCATGGCTGTGTCGAAAAATGTGTCATACTCCCAGAAAGAGTGGCCCTGTCCTTCTATTTCCACTTGTGTCCAACAAACATGGTACCCCATCGAATGTAGCTGTGCGACAAATGTGCCTATGATTAGCAAAATATGCCATTTCTACAGATGCAGCGTATGGCCTACAGATGTTGTCCCGAATTCAGCAACCGTGTCATGTTTTTTTCAAATTTGAACCCTCTCAAGGTATTGACAAAATGAATAATGTCAGATATATTCCATTTCTAATATTTGCCGTAGGACACATGACACCACCTTCGAGGATCATGCAACAAAGTGGTCCCCTCACCTACTGCATGACCACTTCCAGAGTGTCACACTGACCGACCATCCAATTTAGCAAATGGCAATACCCAATTTATCCCTACTGTGAAAGGGGGATTTCCTAAAATTAACACTTATGTGAAAAATTCAACAACTGTGGTTTATGCACAACAAAAGTGACTATCCATCAAAAGCCAATCAGGCATGGCTGTGTTGAAAAATGTGTCATATTCTCAGAAAGAGTGACCCTGTCCTTCTATTTCCACTTGTGTCCAACAAACATGGTACCCCATCGAATGTAGCTGTGCGACAAATGTGCCTATGATTAGCAAAATATGGTATTTCTACAGATGCAGCATATGGCCTACAGATGTTGTCCCGAATTCAGCAACAGTGTCATGTTTTCATCAAATTTGAACCTTATCAAGGTATTGACAAAATGAATAATGTCAGATATATTCCATTTCTAATATTTGCCGTAGGACACATGACACCACCTTCGAGGATCATGCAGCAAAGTGGTCTCCTCACCTACTGCATGACCACTTCCAGAGTGTCACACTGACACTCCATCCAATTTAGCAAATGGCAATACCCAATTTATCCCTACTGTGAAAGGGGGATTTCCTAAACTTAACACATATGTGAAAAATTCAACAACTGTGGTTTATGCACAACTAAAGTGACTATCCATCAAAAGCCAATCAGGCATGGCTGTGTCGAAAAATGTGTCATATTCCCAGAAAGAGTGGCCCTGTCCTTCAATTTCCACTTGTGACCAACAAACATGGTACCCCATCCAAGGTAGCTGTGCGACAAATGTGCCTATGATTAGCAAAATATGGCATTTCTACAGATGCAGCATATGGCCTACATATGTTGTCCCGAATTCAGCAACCGTGTCATGTTTTCTTCAAATCTGAACACTCTCAAGGTATTGACAAAATGAATAATGTCAGATATATTCCATTTCTAATATTTGCCGTAGGACACATGACACCACCTTCGAGGATCATGCAGCAAAGTGGTCCCCTCACCTACTGCATGACCACTTCCAGAGTGTCACACTGACCGACCATCCAATTTAGCAAATGGCAATACCCAATTTATCCCTACTGTGAAAGGGGGATTTCCTAAAATTGACACTTATGTGAAAAATTCAACAACTGTGGTTTATGCACAACAAAAGTGACTATCCATCAAAAGCCAATCAGGCATGGCTGTGTCGAAAAATGTGTCATACTCCCAGAAAGAGTGGCCCTGTCCTTCTATTTCCACTTGTACCCCGTGGTATTGTAATAGAGGCAATATATTTTAATTGTAAATATTATTTATTTTAGCCAGATATTATTTTTACTAACATACTGTAATCACTTTTCAATTTCAGTTCAACTGAGTGAACTCTTCCTTTCTTCACTCACTCATGCTTATTTCTTCTCATCTTTTTCTTTCTCTCCATTGGTCTGTCCTTAGTTTCACCTTTGTGTATATTGGTTACCCCTGGATTGTGACTATTTCCTATAGTTTTGTTTTCATTAATTTTATATATTTCAAAGTGGAAGGTGTTTCAACTCCCTTATTGAAATATAGAAAGATCCTTCAATGATTTAAATTTGTATTTTTCATTTCAATTTGGATATCATTGTGTCGAAGGATTTATTAGTATATTTGGTAAGTTAATCTTATTTGGTATTTCTCTTTTTGTTGTTTATTTTGTTAATAGGTTATATTGGCCAATTTTATTGTCAAGTGGTAGTCATTTTGGATCTATATACATATGGGTTTCTGTTTTTGCATTAGGTACATTTTTATATGGCATTACGTTCATCACAGTAATTTCCTTAAACTTACATTATCACAATTTATTCCTTTGTAGACTAGACCTCAATTGTTGAATTCAAGCCTTTAGCTTGATTTACTCCTTAAACCCCTTTTTGCTTAGGGTAAGTCTTTTTGTATTTTTGTATATAATTGTATTATATTTTGTTTTAAGACTGTTTGTATAGTTAGTATTTCTAGTTATTACTTTAATAACAAGATCAAGGAAAATAGTTGTATTATAGAGTTTATATTTAGGTATTATTGTAGTAATTAATATTCTTCTTTTGAATATTTCAGGGTTTTTGTTAAGCAATAAAGTTTTATCAACCCATTTGGATGTGTGGTTAATTAGCCTACCCTAATTCCTGACCACCCATTTCATTGGCGCCCAACGTGATTGTACCTACAGTTCCTGTTTCCTGAAAAAACCCGTGAGTGAATATAATAGTGCACTAACATTTGCGATGTTGCTGCAGCAATAAGTGATATTTGGATTCGTTCATGCATTTTTTGTAAACTACTTTGAGTAACTTTCTATTGTGTTTTCATCTGGATTATTTAAAAAAAAAAATAGATTTTGTCAATTTTTTTAATTTTTTTTTATTTGTTATATGCTCATCAAGGTTATTATTTGTATATATTATATAAATTATAATGTATTTGGCTAAATTATGGAATTTCTTTTTCTTTAAGTCCTATTTTCAAGTTTCCATAATTTAAATTATCTAATCGAGTTAATTATCTTAAGTAAGCAACTTTTTACTTAAATGCTAAAATTTAATTTATTAAAGGTATTAATTACCTCCCTTTAATTTTTGGCCATCTTGAATTTCAAACTATAAATCAGAAACTCCTTAAGTTTGTACTTATAAGTTTCGCAGCTTTATTTTTTTCTGCCTCTTTAAATTTACTTAAAATTTATTTCTGAATTTGTTTTAGTTGATTTTCAAATTTGAATTATTTTTTTTAATTTTCTGAATTTTTTTTTATGGTTAAGTTGTTAGTATTATATATAATTTCATAGTACTAGCCTAGGTCTATTCCACTACATACATATACATATACATATACATATATACACTCTGCAAGTTTACATTTAATGTTATTTCAGGTTGCAATAATTGTTCATAGATTTAGTTTCATTTGCTAATTGCTGTTTGTCTATCAAGTATATACTTTTAATTTTATTATCAGTTTTCAAACTTAAGTTGATTCCATCAGGTAACTTAGTATAATGAAATTTATATTTCTATTGTCTTTAAATTAGTTTATCTCTATATTATTTTTCTTGATTGCTTTGTTTTTGCATGTATGCAAATAATAGTGTCTCGCGTTATTGATATTTTATACAGTGAATGTTTTTGTCCGTTTAGTTTATATTTTCGGGTTTTGCAACTTGTATTTTCAGTTTACCTGGTTTTTTTTAAGATGTCTGATTCTGAATCAGAGAATGTTGGAGGTGCCACAGGTGGTTCTGATGCTAATATTACCCTTTTGGACGTACGACCAAAACAATTTTTCTTTATCAACCAGTGACGGAGGAAATATTTTGGAATGTTTCAGAAAGTTAGAGGTTATTCCGGACACAGATTCTACGGAAAGTTTTATGCCATGGATGAAAGAGTATCTGGAGTCTACTGGACATCATGGAACAGATGATGTTGAGGTACCTTTAGAAGCTAGAGGTACTAGACCTAAGAGAACTAATCCTGTTAAGTTAGAGCTACCATCACAGATACAGCAACCAAAGTTACTTACGACGAAACATGACCCTTCTGCTACACCAACTACCAGCTTACCAACTACTGGCTTACATCAGGTACAGCATACAACCTTATCACCGAACCTACCAAGGATTTCAACATTTTCAGGTGATCCAACAGCTAAGAATGATACGTCTTTTGATATATGGAAATTTGAGGTTCTCAGTTTATTACAGGATAGTAGGTATAGTGAAGAGTCGGTACATATTGCTGTGGTGAAGTCACTCAAAGGTGAAGCTGCACGAGTTGCTATGCATCTTGGTCATCAAGCATCAGTTAGGTTGCTGATTAAGAAATTGTCAACTCGATTTGGTCTTCTTGAGGAAGGTCAAAGTTTATTATCTAAATTCTACAGCGCCACTCAACAACCAGATGAATCTGTTTCCAGTTGGGCTTGTAAGTTGGAAGACTTGTTGAATAAAGCATTATTAGAAAATGAAATTGATAGGTTATCATTTGATTCCAGGTTAAGAAACAAATTTTGGAGTGGATTAAGATCAGATCTTAAAGATAAGTCATAAATATGACCGTATCCAGGACTTTGACCATTTGTTGATTGAAGTTAGGAAAATAGAACAGGATTGTGGACTTCTTGCATCTACTTCTTCCAAACCCAAAGCTAGAGTTAATAGTGTGCAGAAACCAGACGATTCTCAAGACTCCGACTTAAGAGCAATGGTGGCTAGTTTAGCCAAATCGATGCAGGCACTACAGAAAAATGTCGAAGACATTCAGAGGAGAGACAGACCTCAAGCAACTAAATCAGATGCAAGAACATCATTAACCCCAAGACAGCTACCAACCTGTTATAGATGTGGACAAGAAGGGCACATAGCAAGAGGGTGTAGGATGCCGAAGAAACAACAGTGACTAGATGTCATTCCTGATGTACAGTTACCAGTCAAACATTCTAGTCGTTCAAAAGTTATTGGACATAGTAACATCACTGTGGTGGATATTTGTGGTGAACATTGTGCAGCCTTGTTGGATACTGGATCAACTATATCAACTATAGCTAAGTCATTTTTTAAGGAGTATCTGGAGACAAAGGATTGTACAATAGTTCCACTAGATGAAATCATACAAGTTGAAAGTGCTACAGGACATAATTTGCCGTATCTTGGATCTGTTTGTTTGAACCTTTCAATCCCAAGCTTTGACACTTCCAATGTGGATGGAATATTTCTTGTTGTCCCTGACACTGCTATCAATTCCACCACCCCATTACTTATTGGTACCAACATCCTGAAGCCGGTCCTCAACAAAGTTCTTGCGGATTATGGTCATAATTATCACATGACAGCTCAGTTACCAGAAACATGGACTATGACATTTCAGTGCATGAAGATGCAAGAAAATATCCTACACAACACAGTTGGTTTAGTAAAATTTTCAAAGCCCAAGTCCACAATTCTACATAGTAACCAGTCTGTTTGTTTGACAGGAAGGATAGAAAATTACACACTACTCGGAAGGCAACATGTACTTTTTCAGAAGTCATCAGTATCTAAACTACCATCTTATGTTGAGATTACACCTACTATAATGGAGGTTGATCCAGACGATTTGTGTACTCCAGTATTAGTGAGAATATCCAATTTATCATTATCTAAAGTGAGAATTTTCCCACAGTCAGTATTATGTGAGTTAGTTGCAGTAGACATCGTCAGAAAGCCCACCAGTAATAGCCTAACACCGACATATGAGTGCCAGCCGATAGAAAATAACTTCATGGATGAGATTGATTTTAGCAACACTGCATTGGAATCTAACCAACTACAAGAGTTAAAAGATTTTATTAAAAACTGGTCGTGTGTATTTTCACAGCATGAGAATGATATTGGATGTATAGATTTGGTAAGTCATGAGATCACACTGACAGACTCTATACCCAT